AAAATTTATATGAAATGTTGCTACTTATTCCATCTAAAATATGTTATAGAAAAAAAAAATGAAATATTGCTATTTCTGCCACACCCACGACCTTATACCCTTCCAATAACTATACCTTCTATGCTTTTTTTTCTTTTCCTTGAGAATCCAGTCGGTTATAAGAGGAACAAAATACTCTTGATCTTTACAGAATACCAACCTCTTATAGACGGAAAAAAATAACCAAACCAATGCCAATCCCCAGAAAAATACATTTTTTTTCTTTATTTTCCAGAATTGCCACAAATACCCTTCAATCATCAAATCTACCGATCATCTCCTGGAGAGGGCAATCCAATTATACTTGCGGCTATTAAACCAAGTTCATCTATACCATTCAATATAGGTGTGAATAAATAGAATATAAACGTGAAAACCTTCAAAAATTGATTATGACCAAAATACCCATGCATCCTTAAAGTAAAAAAGCAATTAACATCATCCTCTAAACATCCCAAAGTAACATTGTTGCTTTTATTATAGCAGTACCCATTAGCAAACATGGATAAAAAACAAATATCAATGATGCAAATCTTCCAGATAAGAATATAACCAAAATACCTTTTACCCTTGTAAAACATTATATGTTCCTTGTGCTCTTTTGCAAATGAAAACCCAAAACAACCACATTAGTATGGTTCTAGCTAGCTACATCTGCACTTAAAATAGAAAAATTAATACATAATAAATGACCTGTTATAAAAATATTAACATAAGACTTTGATGAATGAAACTCACAATTTAATCACCTGGCTTAATAAACTCAAATAACCCATGAGTTTGTTCAATAAGCCAAGTATTTAAATCACTTTTTTGGTTTAAAAAATAAAAAGATTAAATGTGATGGCTACCATGGTTAGTAGCATCGCATAGCACTTTAAACATCAAATGTACTACCACCAAGATCAAACAACCTGCCAAAAGATAGTTTACATGTCATATCATAAAACACCACATCAAAATTTCAAAACCTAACCTCGTACCAAAAATCAGGGTGAATATAATCAATTGGAAGATGAATTGGGGCACATCTGCAACAACATAAATTGGTTTGTGAGTTTCATATATCGTAAGGTAAACATATCTAATAGGAAGCATTGCTAGGTCTAATCTTGCAGAATGTTTCACCATCTGAATTATTATTAAAGCACTACAAATTACTCTATTCTTTCATCATTCATCATTGTTTTGTACGCGTCTTGGAACAATCCTTTTTTCCTGCTTGTCCAGCCAACTCCGGTACCAAACAAAAATTCATGAAAATTGACATCAAAAGAAACTAAAAAACCTTTTCGTAGTCTTCTGTTACTTGGGGCTCAAAAAAATTGTTCGATCATCACATCACGCTCCAATAGTCACTATTTGTGAGATTCGGCCTACAAAAAAAATCAACTCCATGGATAAAAAAATATGACAACTTCATAAACATTTACCTAGATTTAAGAAAAATCATAGTCCAAAATTAGTTTCCTGAGAAACAAATGCCAAAATCGAGATAACCTTTGCATCAAGAAAATAGAACTTAAAGCTTCAAACCGATATCTTCATCATCTCTGATAACCTTTTAATAAAAAAAAAGTTTCCATGAGAACGATGCTTAAAGAAAACCTAGATAGACAAACCAGAAACGTGTTAGTAGAAAAGAAAAGAGTAAAACCTAAATCAACATACCTAAATCGAGAGATCATAAGCATGGTGGAGCATTGATGTTGGAGACATTGTTTCTGATTTTTCATAATCAATCAGTGGGTTTTATTGATTTTACAACTGAAAGGAGCGAATTAGGGATTTTGAAATCCAAATCAAAGCGTCAAAGCGAATCAAGAGACCGAGATTTGAGGCTGATTAAAGATTTAGAAGAAATAATCAATCATACCTTAAATTGAGGTCAACAAATCTTGAAATTTTAATCGTTAAGAGGGAATGTACACAGATGAAATTGGGGAACGAACAATCGGGTATATTTTGTTGATTACCTTCGTTGCAGATTAAATTTGTAATCGATGCATTTGGAGGTATATATAAAGTAGATAGAAGCATAGAGTATCCGATTCAGTTTGGAAAAGATTGTGGCTTATTTAACGGGATTGATGATCTTTGAATTCAATTCATAAGATAAGGGTATTTGGGATGAAAATGCAACAGGCGGGAAAAGCAATCAAAATCGAGCTATGGCAGTGACACGTGGCAAGAAGGTGGTTTAAAATAATGACATGTGGCGGTTTAGGGATTCTTTTATTAAGAATATATATATATATATATATATATATATATATATATATATATATATATATCTTAATAAACAATACTTTTTTTTACACATGCCTCTTTCATATTCATTTTCAGCCAAAAATGATTTTACCTTTATACCCTCCAAGATTTTACTTAATATTTTGGAAATCATTAATGTGTACAACTTATTTCCGAAATTTAAGGATCCTTACCGTGTCATCTCTTCAGCAAAATTGCCCTTATTCACCATGAATCCCATAAAATAGCAAAATCTATAACAAATCGCAAAGGTAATCGCTCTAAATCGGGAAGCATATCTTTTCTGAATTTGAATTGATTTCCCCCACCGTCTTTTCTCTCTCACATCTTTTGTTACTCTGGAAGAAAATGTTGTGTATCTCGTAAATCGGCCTCCAACTCATACTAGGTTGGAGAATGTGGCAGCGCCGATACAAGGCACCGATAATATGGCATGCCTCCAACACAATATGTATTTTTTTAGTTCTTAGTGCATTAATCTATATGAGGTTGAACTTGGGTTTATGGTTTTTTGCTATTCGAAAACTTCATTATGTGCAGATATCGATTTTTACTTTTAATCGGAACCCTATACATCTTTTAAGGAGATACATGTTTTTTACTCGTTAGTTTCTTGAATTGTAAATTGGCATTAGGTATGATCAATGTATTTCATGTTTTGTAATTTTGGGGTTTTAATCAAATTCTACTATATTTCATGTTTTGTTTCTGCAGGACTATCTTGATGTTGATTTGGGTTATTGTTGAACACTATTATAATATGTGTTTTGGATATGAAATGATATTCACTTAGTAGCTTAAGATTCAAGAACATCTAACACCATCTTGCAAATGCTCATTCTTTCATTAACTGACTTCATATCTTTAAGTTATTGTAAATTGGAACTTGTGAATCCATTGTTCTTGGAAATGAACAACGAAAAGGAAGTTGCAACGATTTAAAAGTTTCCTCTTTACCTAACCGACTTTAACTGTTTAGCCAAAAAAAAATCATGGTTAATTTTGGCTTCTTTTTCCTTTCTTGCAGATCTATCAATGCTAAAAACCTGCTTGATGAATTTTTTTTTTAAATGGGTTGCAAGGTAGGAAGTTACAAAAATTTAGGATAAAAATATTTTTATTTTCTAATTATTGGTGCTTATAAACAATGCCAAATTAGCATGTCCTTATGAAGTTATAGTTTTCATATCAATTTTGGTTCTTCGGGAAAAGATTATCCAACTATATTTAGGTAAGTTGTAATTTCTTGCTACATATGAAAGTAAGTTGCTATATCTTGCATTTGATTTGGGTTAAATGCAAGAAATAACAACTTATTTGTTCACTTTATGTGTGTCTTTAACTATGAAAGATAAAAATGTTGCTTCTTTTTTACTTAACAGGAACAAAACTTGATCCACGAAGTCACCTTTTGACTTAATAGGGAAATGTTTTTTGCTTTTAACTTATTTTTTTTTACTGAACAGGTACCCGACCCAAGTTTTTTCAGAATTAAAAACGATAAAATGTTTGTTTTTCTTTACTTAACAAAGACATGTTTTTACTTTAATTCATAAAACATGATAAAACAATGTTGTAATACAAAAAAATAAAGGTATTATGTTATAATAGAAATAAGTGAAAGTAGTATTTCCTATTTGAGCATTGTTATTTGATAATGCATCGATTAATTTCTGCACTCACCCGTCCCTCCCCAACTCACACACAAACCACTTCTTATTCAAGTTTTTAGGTTCAATCACATCTTATAAACCCAAAAGAAAATAGAAAATAGAATGGCTAAATTCACACACCCACAGAACAAATAAAATATGATACATTGTGTATGTTATAATACTTTGATATGCACAATTGTTGACTTATCTGTTTATGCTAACAGTTATACAACCAAATATGAAACCTTACATACCTAAATACCAAACATTAGCATTGTTAAAATTCTTTAAAGGTGCATTTCTTTTTGATCATATATCATTAAGTGATTAAGCAATATCTGATTTACGTCAAATTGGTAATATTTTATGTTATTTAATATAACATAATGATATGGTAAAATTAAAGGCATAATTGTGATGTTCCAACTTATTTTTATACAAACTTTGCATTTCATGCTATTTTTCGTAGATATTTTATTTTGGCGCAGTTTGTAACCAAAAGATAATGAAAGTAGAATGATATTATTGGAAAAAATATTCAAAGTTGATGTCTTAAAATGAGTACATGGTCACATTTAAGTAAATAATGAAAGTGCGCTCTCTAGATGATTGTAATACACTTCATATCCATTTTACTTATAAGTAGGGGTGAATATAATAACAAAAAAACCAAACCAAAACCGGAATAACCAATAACACCGAACTATAATGATAGAACAATTCGTAAAACTGATTGTTTGATATTCGAATTTATATATTAATTTTAATTAATCAATATAAAAGTCCATACAAAACTTATATTTTATTAATTTAATAAATTTTTATAAATCTTTAACTTTTCATTAAGATTTTTAATTATAAATATTGTTTTGTTTTTCTACCTGTGGTTTCCACAGGTTGTAACCTAATATATATATATATATATATATATATATATATATATATATATATATATATATATATATATGAAAAGTGAATATACTAGTAAGGGGGTATATAAGGTTAGGTACGGATCGTTATATCCAACGTCGTTTAAGTGAATATATCGGGCCTTTTTTCTTCCTCGTACTCGCATCGATCAATTGAGCCACCAACGTCCTCTGATCGGGAATGAAGTTTATCAAGCCCCAATCAAATCTTCCTCTTTAGCTCTTTTGTGTTAGCTCGTATCAACCAACAGGTGAGGTGATCGTTGGGGATTTGAGTTAACATCCGATTATTTGATCATCCAACAGGTATTTCGATCCCACACACATGTTTTCGATTTTTTTTCTTGGGTTCAAGAGGCACAATCATCCATCGTTCCAATGGGTTCTCTATCTAGCCCTCGGCAAATCAATTGACTAGATAGTTACACTTGCAGGTGCAGCAGGGTGAATGTGATGATGGTGGACGGCCTAGAAGCTCGTATAGCGATGGGTATGTGTATAGGTGTTCATAATTCGACTACTCTTCGCTCAGCTCCCTCTTTCAGGCGCACGAAGCTCCGAGCCAAACCTAGTGCTGCCCTTATTGCTTCTTCTTCTCGGACAGAAGGTCGAACAGTTGGTGGGCTGCTGTTGCAACCAAAGCATGACCTAAACGAAGTAAAGGGAGATGATGATACTGTTAATAATATCATCATCAAGAAGAAGAAAAGGGTGTTCTTTTTGGATGTAAACCCAATCTGTTATGATGGTAGCACCCCGAGTTTACACTCTTTTGCTCACTGGATTTCCCTTTTCTTCTCCGAAGTCAGCCTTACAGACCCTGTTATTGCCGTAAGCACCACCTCTCTCCATTACGTTTCTATGCCAAATTTTAAGCCCAACAGGCCAATTGTTTTATCTCAATGAGAGTTTGGTCGTTTTAGATAACTCAGTGATTTAAGTCAAAATCTTTGGATTTTAAGGTATCTGAAAGACTTTTTGGAAGCAATCTAATCAAATATAGCTCTTTTTTCTGGCAGAGAAGTAGAAGAAGTGCACTGGAATCTTCAGTTGATTGCTATGCTGCTGTAGTACTTTATCCATATGTTTTAGTTGATTTCAGCAATAGTTTATGCACCCTTATGAATATTGAGCTCATTTCATTATGTAATGTGTCTCAATTAGCCTTTTGTACTAAATTACAAATAAATAAAAAATATTAAGGAAGCCTTGTATTACTCATATTTCACCTTTGTAACACATATTTCATTTTTTGCAGGTTATTGATGGAGAAGGAGCTCACGAATATAGGAAACAAATGTTACCTTCATATAAAGTACACAGAAGAAAATTTTCACCATATCAACTAATTTCAGATACCCTTACAAAATGTAATGTGCCGGTCAGTAATCCTTTGTAATAATTCCATCACTTTTAACAAATATTACTTGAATTCCTTTCATTAAAAAGAAAATATATATATTCTAGTTTATATGAATGATAATGATATGCAGGTTGTGCAGCTTCGTGGTGAAGAAGCAGATGATGTTGTTGTTACACTTGTTGAACAAGTTTTGGAGATGGGATACCGTTTTGGAGATGGTTCATTAGAAAATCTACTTAATGATGTAGGTGTAAGAGACACAAACAGAATGATTCAGAAATTATATCAGTTGCAATACCTGTGGTTTTTAATGCTTTGAAATTATTTGTATTGTAGGGATGTTAACATTAGGATACAGGAAGAGTGGTTGCATAAGAGACACAAACAGAATGATTCAGAAATTATATCAAGCTTCCTTGATTTATTGGGGGAAACTTGTAGTTCTAAAGCTCTCTGGATTCATATCTAGCCCTTGTGAAACTTTCTCTGTGAAGGTATGAACACTTCAAGTTCTCTTTTTTCCTCTGTTTTTATCATCTTATTGAAGCTTGCTTATTTTGGAATGGAATCCTTCCAGTATTAAGTTCAAACCCTTTTCAACCTTCTTCTTCATTTTCCATCCATTAATTTTCAAGAATTTTTTTTTCAGTCTCTTGGAGTCCCTGTTCACCATGATGTATATCAGATTAGAGCATCCCATATACCACCTAGAAAACTGGTTTATTGACACATCAAAGCACAAGGAATTAAAGCCAAGATAGCCATTAAATGGGGAAAGCCTCATTTCCTTTACTTTCTGTATTAAGTTCAGTTGTTTTTTTTTCTGTTGAAGTCAAAAAGAAACTCATGTGTATAGCTAACTGGATTGACCGAAGGGTAAAATGGTCATTTATTCATATTTTAGATTGTTCATTAGTTCAATAAGGAAACACCCCTGTATAATTTATAGTTTACTCGATTAAATGACCATTTAATCAAAAGTTAAAACGGTTATTACTTGTATTCAGTCAAAAACGAAAGATTTTATGCATAAAGCACTTTTATCTTAAAGAAGAAAAAGAAACAGGCCCTATGTTTTGACTTTAAGGTCTATAATGCTTTGAATTCTCAAGAAACTTGTAATAGCTCAATTGAACCTTGTTTTTTGCTAAAACTGTGAAAATATTGTGTTGAATTTGTAGAATATTCGTATTTGATTCTGAATATGGAAAAAGAATTGGGTGATTTTAAGTCAAAATCTTTAATTTTACCACCTTTCAGTTAAGATAATTCACTCTGAGGTCTTGAGGATTACCATATTTGGGACAGGGGCAAAATCGTCCAACGACGTTAAAAAACATCAAACTTATGTGTAGATCTAACCAAAATGATAGCATACTTTCTTTCTTAACCTTTAATTGCAGATAAGTTTTGTTTTGAATCCAAAATGACAGCTCACTTTCATTATTAACCCAAAATTGCAGAAAAGTTTCGTTTTTTTCACAAAATACCATCACATTTCCGGTTTTTCTCAAAATCCCATCGTACTTCCGTTTTTTATTACAAAATACCCTCATAATTTCGTTTTATCACAAAATACCCTCAAAATTTTGTTTTTTTCATAAAATACCATCGTACTTCTGTTTTTTCACAAAATACCCTCATAATTTCATTTTTTCACAAAATACCCTCATAATTTTGTTTTTCTCATAAAATACCATCATACTTCTGTTTTTTTCACAAAATACCCTCATAATTTCGATTTTTCACAAAATAACCTTATAATTTTGTTTTTTTCAAAAATACCATCATACTTCTGTTTTTTTCACAAAATACCCTCATAATTTTATTTTTTCACAAAATACCCTCATAATTTTGTTTTTTTTTCATAAAATATCATCGTACTTCTATTTTTTCACAAAATACCCTCATAATTTTGTTTTTTTTCATAAAATACCATCATACTTCTGTTTTTTTCACAAAATACCCTCATAATTTCGTTTTCTCACAAAATACCCTCATAATTTTGTTTTTTTTTTCATAAAATACTATCGTACTTCTGTTTTTTTCACAAAATACCCTCATAATATGGTTCTATAGCTTGATTACTTGCTTCGGCTTCACTCATTATCACCTGCAGTAGACAACGATGCATATTTCCAAATAAAAGATTAACACAAAATTGTTTTATATTGAATATAATGGAAACATTATACATAAAAAAACATAATAACAACCAATGACAATGTCTAAAAACAACAATGTCACTTTTAAAATCCATGAACAAAAAAGATTCATTAGGTAATAAAGAACACTGTAAACAATAATCTCGAATATTAAATTCTAAAAAACTTTAATAATCATATCAATGTCAGTTTTAGAAAAACTACTTGGAAGTATTCTTAACCAAAACATGGGAGATTTGTAGTTTTTGTAGCATCATACTTTCGTTTAAATCACATAATGGCAGGCAAATTTCAATTTTAAATACAAATGAAAACCGAGAATAAAAAACTACAAAAGTTAAATACATTGGGAAAGTAATACATTTTCATAGATTTAATGCTGTGTAAAAGAGCTCATCCAAAGTTCAAAGAATTCTTCTAAAAAAATCATTCATTAAAATAAATTACAACCGATTCCAATTGACAATAAAAAATCCAAACTTTGAAACTTCACAATTAGTTTATATTGCTGATATTTAGTAATCATATACACATAACATAGGCCATAAAACACGAGATCAATGACTTACTTGGAAGTGGTCTGGAAAGAAAAAACAGGGGATGTTGCGATTTGTAGTTTTTAAAGATCTAATCAAACCCAATTCGTTATGAGTTGTGATTTCTGAGAACTCGCTGAATTGAATTCCAATTTGAATGAACTCGTTAATGGTGAAATTCGAAATTAGTACATTGCTTTTTTTTTTAAATCGATTTCTCTGAAATCGTTTTCCTTTGAATGGAGATTTTTTTTTGAAGTCGTTTTTTTGAAATCGATTTCTCTGAACTCGATTTCTCTAATTTTTTTTTGTGATAAGCAGCTGATTATTGGATTGATCAAGGAAGACGTGATTTGCAGCCGATCATCAAGCGTATCATGGAAGACGTGTTTTGATGTTATCAGTAGTCGAGTCTAATTAGGAACATAGCAAATAATTTATGGAAATTGTATTTTTTTTTTTTTGAGAAAATTAATCCAATAATCGAAACTACCTAGTTTTGTGGTTAAGGGTACCTAACCTTATATACTTAAGATATATTCACTTTTCCATATATATATATATATATATATATATATATATATATATATATATATATATATATATATAATTTAATGAAATATTAATCAATTTAATATCAAAAAATATATTTAAAAATCATAAATATAAATAAATTTACCAAAATACCCTTTACATATTATATCCAAATTAAATCTTATTCTTTTTTTCTAAAACGTAAATCAAACAAAAGATTTCCTCGGTCATCCCTCCCAGATCCACCTTTCTTCTACCCCAAAAACCGAGTTCATCTCTCCCTCCTTCCATCTTCCGGTATCCCTCACGGCCTCACCTCCTCCGTCGCCGTCCCTGCCATGAAAAGGGTTATGCCCACCTCTGACGTCTCTACTTCCTATCTCTTATCTCATTAATATTGTCCTTCTCTCTTTCTCTCCCCCTCCCTGTCCTCGCCGACACAGATCAGGAGCAGGTTGAAGACATTAGTGACATCTTTGTTAATAACGCCACTCTCACTTCCAACTATGCTTCTTCTACTATGGATAAAGACAAGAGGTTTGCTGGTATGATCGATCGTGCTATGGAGAAAGAGTTCACTCAGAATGATCAGAACGAAGGTTGACTTATTAGATCTGATGCTTTTATTTAGGGTTTTACAGTGTATGGTTTCAATTGCTTGCTAGGATTCTAATTACTGCATTTAATTGCTTTTTTTATTTTATTTCTTCCTTCCATCAAAAAGGGGGAATTCAACAGATCATCCATTACCAAAGGGCTTCTAGCCCAACGGTATCCGGTGTTGCCCTCCCTGAGGTTGAGGGTTCAAGTCTCGTCGTGGACATAGGTGGATTTAAGGTGTAGTTTAGGAGTAGGATAGATTTGTCGTTTCAAAAAAAAAAAAAAATCATCCATTATCATTAGTTACTTCAGGAATTGAATCTTTTCTTTTTAATTGAAAATGTTAGGGTTTCCATTTTATATCATTCTTTTGTAGCTATATTGTTACCTAACTTTAGAGATCTTTCATCTGGAAGCTCAAGTTTGACTTGTGATTAGAAAGAAAGAACAATATTCAAAATTTATATGGACCTCTTAATTCGCATGGTTATCAAACTTGAGCTTTTGTGACATAATCATCTTAAAGGTAGAATTGATATAATACAAAAGAACCAATAATTAATCTTCCTAAATCGTAGCTGAATTTGTAGAAGAGGATGCAGACAGCTTCAATAACAGTGTTGTTGGGAAACATGTTGTTCTTTCAATTTTAATTCTTCTGATTCACTGAACCATATTACACACCAATGTTCAATTTTTTATTCTGGGTACAATAATTGTGTATATAATACTTAATTTGAAATTATCTTCTATAATGGTTGTTTGTGTAGACACTAATATTTTTTTTCTTATGTTTAGTGAGACTAAACGAATTATTATACAGTGTTAAGAGTTTTGGATAAATTTATTTGTCGATGAAGGAATGGTGGACACCTTGTATTGTTTTGGGTCTTGAGAACATCATCAAATATCCAAATGCAAATTGGAAATCAAGGAGCTCTGGTAACAAGGTGGCAAATAAGGCTGAGTTATCACTAAGATCTCATCTACATGAAATTCTGGGCGAAATAAAAGCAAAAAAATTAGTAGGTTGTTATTTCTTTAGGAATTAGGAAGCCGTCTCATAAGTAGAGTGTTATTTTAATGTTGTTGCTGTTGTTTTGTCAAAGTAGAGTGTTATTTTAATGTTGTTGCTGTTGTTTTGTCAAAGTAGAGTGTTATTGTTTTAGAATTTTATTTTCTTTGTATTGTAACTTTCCCGGCATCATGTTGGTTTTTATATTTAATGCATTTTAGCAATTCATAAAAAATAAAAGTTTGATGTTATTTCATTGTTTACCATGCACTGATGATAATTTGGTAACATGTTGGATATGTTCATGTTGCATAAATACATTACATAAACAATCCCTACAGCCGAAAATACATTACAGAAATAGTCCCTATAGTAGAAATACATTGCATAAATAGTCCATATTGCAGAAATACATTACAGAAATAGTCCATGTGCATAAAAACATTGCAAATATGGTCCCTGTTTCAGAAAAATATTATAGATATAGTCCATGTGTCAGAAAAACATTTAAAAATGGTCCATGTGCACAAAAATATTACAAATTTGGTCCATGTTTCAGAAAAAACATTACACATATGGTCCCTGTTTTAGAAAAAACATTACAAATATAGTCCCCGTTTCAGAAAAATTTTAAAAATGGTCATTGTGCTCAATAACAATTACAGATTTGGTTCATGTGGCAGAAACTCATTACAGAATTAGTCCATATGGCAAAAAACATTAAAAAAACGGTCCATATGCAAAAACTTATTACAGATACAGTCCTTATAACAGAAAATGTTTATATAAATGGTCCTTGTTAGAGAAATACATTACAAAAACAATCTGTATGGCATAAATTCATTAAAAATGGTCCCAATATATATATATATATATATAATATATATATATATATATATATATATATATATATATATATATATATATATATATATATATATAAAATCAAATTTTAAA